TTGTGTGTGTGTGGCCAGCTCAGCCCACCAGGGGGCGCGGCTGGCTGGCATGTGGTGCTGGAGGATCGAACCGCGGTCCCTGTGCTTTGCCGAGCTTGTTCCAAGTAGGTGCTTTAGACCACTGAGCCATCTCTCCAGCCCCGTGAATATATATTTTAATATATTAAATAAGAGTTAGGTAGTACCCCTAGCCTTTTTGTCTCCTTTGCATCTTGTTAGAGGGTAGAGAGGGTTGCTGTCTTAGTTTCATGCATCTGGCTTCCCCATGTTTTTCCTGTCTACTCTCCCTCTGGTCTTTTTGATGTAAGTCCTTAACCCATTTGTGCTATGTGGTGCCTTCCTCTATCTGGCTTTCTTCTCTCTCTCTCCCCTCCTTTTAATTGCTCCCAAAGACATTCCTTCTCCCTCCCCCAAGTAAATTTTTCTCTTTCTAGTTAGGATTAGCCAGAAAACCTAGTGAAGCCTTTATTCTATTCTTTCCCTGCATATACACTCCCACCCCTACATATGGAAATCTCACTTTTAAAAATTTATAAATGAAACTAGTTACATTGATATTACAGCTTCACAGGGTTAAGTAAGGACATGATAGCGTAAAGTATATTTTAATATACAGTGTCTCAATTCTTCTCTGGCAAGGAAATTCCTGTTACTAGAGTAAGCAGGGCTAAAGAGAATAGGAAAATATGAAAATAAATTTGTTTAAAATTAGTTGCTTTCTGGGGCCGGGGAGATGGCTCAGCGGAATAAGCACTTCCCTGGCAAGCGCAAGGGCCTGAGTTCAATCCCCGGTTCTGCAAAATAAATAAATAAAGAATTAGTTGCTTTCTTTTTAGTATGTGACCCCCAGTTGTTTCTAATTTCTTTTAGGACTGGTAGGTGATAGGCTTCCTGTGCCTCCTGTTACCCCTCCCTTTTTAGAGAAGGAAGACTATCCAAGTGTGATGAAAGGCAAGCTTGAGAGGCTAGGAAGTTTTATCTATGTAGAAGGGTCTAGTATTTTAGTGTTTCAGATATTATAGGTCTCAAATGTGCTTTATCATGAAGAATTTACTAAAGAAGTACCTGTCCTCATGCCAAATTAATGTTAGCTAATAGCTGTTAATTATAGATGCTGCCAACAAATGAATTGCTCTTGCTTATGCAGTAAGTTCTGCTTTAATTTAATCCACACATCCTAGAAGCAGTTACAAAGTCAGTATGCAATGGAAAGATAGAATTCTGTATAGATGCTCCTTTTTTCTTTTGAAAATAACAGCTTTATTGAGCTATAATTTAATTGATTTTTTTTTTTTTTTTTTTTTTTTTTTTCAGAACTGGGGATTGAACTCATGCCCTTGCTCTTGCCAGGGAAGTACTTATTTCACTGAGCCATCTCCCTGGCCCTGAGATATAATTTATATACTGTAAAGTTCACTGGTGCGGGGGAGGGAGGATGTAGTAGTACTAGCAGTTGAACTCAGGGCCTGCACACTGAGGTACCTACCAGGCCTTTTTTACTTCTATTTTGAGATAGGGTCACTCTAAGTTGCCCAAGTGGGACTTCAACTTGCAGTCCTCCTGATTCTGCTTCCTGAGTGCTGACGTGCATGGCTCTACCCAGCTAACATTCATCTCTTGAAGTGTAAATTCAGTGGATTTTAGTATATTCACAGAATTGGACAACCATCACTCCTTATTTTAGATAATTTCTGTCACCCCCTAAAAGAATCTTTAATACTTAATTCTTCTTGCCACTGTATTCCCTTGCAGTCACTAACATGTTTTTTGTCTTATGGATGTTTCATGTAAGTGGAATACTCTGTGGTCTTTTTTTATCTGGCTTCTTTTACTTTCTGTAATGTTTTAAAGATTTATCCTTATTGTAGTATGTCAGTACTTTGTTCCTTTGTGTTGCTGAATCATAGCCCATTGTATGTATGTATTACATTTGTTTATTCATTTATCAAGAGATGGACATTTGAATTGTTTTTACTTTTTGGCTATTACGACTAATGCCAATATGAGTATTCACATACAAATTTTTGTGAGGACATGTTGTAAGTTCTCTTGGCTAAATACCTAGTGGTGGTGTCATTGGGTCATGTTAACTTGATGTTTAACATTTTGAGGGCCTGCCACACTGTTTTCTAGTTTGCTTGCAACTATTCTATGTAATTTGATTTTTTTTTTTTTATTTTTATTTATTTGAGAGAGAGAGAGAGAGAATGTGGTGTGTGTGTGTGGCCAGCTCAGCCCACCAGGGGGCGGGGCTGGCTGGCATGTGGTGCTGGGGGATTGAACCGTGGTCCCTGATGCTTTGCCAAGCTTGTTCTAAGTAGGTGCCTTAGACCACTGAGCCATCTCTCCAGCCCTGTAATTTGATTTTAAGTCATCCAATTTTAGGTTTTTAATTTCATAAGTTAAACATTAAATTAGTAGAATTGTTAACAGAAAAAAGTTTACCTTTGTAGTCCTTTGTTTTAAAAAATGAGTTTGCAATTATTGGTATTAATCTTTGGCTCTTTATTTTTCTTTTGCAGTTTTATCTTCAAGACACTAAAAGTAGTAATGGTACCTTTATAAATAGCCAGAGATTGAGTCGAGGCTCTGAAGAAAGTCCACCATGTGAAATTCTTTCTGGTGACATTATCCAGTTTGGGGTAGATGTGACAGAGAACACACGGAAAGGTACGGGTATGGATCAATTTTCCCATTATTTATCTTTTTAAGATTGTCTGTTCTTTCTTACTTAATGTTACAAAACAATATGTGCTTTTTATATTCTTAGAGAAGCTAATTAAATATATATATTTATATATGTATATATGTAGTCAGAAGTTAAAAGTCTACCACTTCCCTTATTGCTTTTTCTAAAATTTTCATTTCTGAAATGTTAATTAGTAATATATTTATATTTTCATATATATTTTATATATATCACTTAGGAAGCAGTTAGCTGCAGTGATAAGCAACTAAGATTAGCCTAAACTGCAAGATCTTTATTAATAACACATTGAAACTAGTGAGATTTAATGAAAAGAATGGAGCCAGATAGATATAGTGTTTATTCTATTGGCTCAACAGTATAAACAGGGTTTGAGGGCCAGCCATCCTTAATATGTTGGTTTCTTATGCTTTTTGCTTGTTTTGTCAAAGAGGATGGCCTATAACCCCAGACATTATTTTTCTCATACACATATTCCCAAGCAAAAAGGCAAAATTTCTTGTATGTCTCTGATGAAAGAAGTCTTTCAAGAATTCTTCCAATGTATCTGTCCTTATGTCTCACTAGCTTCATGTGTTGGCCACATATATAGCTACCTAAAGCTGCAAGGAAGTCTTAAGAAGTTACTTGGCAAAGGAGGAGGAGGAGGAGACCCACTATTAGCATATATCCATTATGATTTATCTCTTTTAGTTGTGTACATTGTTCCCCCAAGCAAAATCAGAGTTCTGTTAGCAAAAAATAAGGGGGAAAGCAGTGGAGGTAGTAGGTAGCTAGTAGTACCTATCACAACTATAAAGTAAAATTTAATATCTTAAAATTTTCAAAAAGTTTTCTAGCTAAATCAATATAGATTGGTCTTTATAATTTTTAGCTTCCTGGTCCTACCTGGTTGTCAACTTTAACGAGTGTGAAATTAGAGCCAGCCAAATAGCTTAGTGGACTAAAGAGCCTGTGCAGGGATGGGGGGAAGTGCTATGCCAGCCCTGCCCCCAGGGTGAGCTGAGACAGTGACTGAGACTGGGTATGGTGGCACATGCCTATAATCCCAGTGCTTGGGAGGCTAAAAACAGGAGGATCACTACCAGTCTGATTTGTGTAGTGAGACCCTGTAGTCCTTGTACTAAAATACATTTAAAAAAATAAATAAAAATATAAAGATAAAGAACATGAAATTGTATGGCTGACTCTTAAAATTTAAATGAATTAAAAACCAAAATTGCACAGCATCACCCTTTTAGTTTAATATGGTCAATGGAACAAATGTTTCTCATTTTGTTTCTCTGAACATACTCTGATTTGGGTGGTACATTAAGTCATCAAAATGCCATATAGATGTGGGCATGGTAGTGGTGATAGCGTTGTTTGTATATTCTTGCCATATTTGTGTATATATTCTAGTGGGATTGCAACAGTAGCAGTATTTTTACTGGGCTTTGTTGGCTGCCTCAGGAAATTAGGTTTTTATTTCAATTTGAGTTGGTCTTAGAAATTACTGTTTACAGTTATATACCAGAAAAGGAAGATCAAATTTTGGTCCAAACTGTTAATTATTTCTTTTTTTTTTGGGGGGGGGGGGACCGGGGATTGAACTCAGACCCATGCACTTGCCAGGCAAGTGCTTATTCTATTGAGCCATCTCCCCAGCCCCAATTATTTCTTATTAAGAGAACTCAACTTACATATGATCATTCTGGAAAAAGCCTACATTGGATGGTCCTGTATCTCTTGTTCCATAACATACCTCCTGTACTGTGTCATTCAGCAGACAATACATTAAGCTCAATAAGTTGAACCTCAACTCTGTGTAACACACTGAGAAAAAGAGAATTTTATTACACTGTCCTTCAAGGAATGTATGCTTTTTTAACTTACATTTACCAGAGAATGATTAGCCATTAGTTGATAAAAGAATGATATAATCAAATACTAGTTTATTTAAGGCAGGGAGAATCTTTAATTTTCTAACATGGGTAGATTTCACTAGTCAGGAATATACAAAACCTGTGTAAAATATCATTGTTAACAAATAGGCTTATATTCCAGTAAGTTTTTTAAAAAGAGAGAAAGCTATGACTTAGCCACTCAACTACTGGCCACTTGTTAGTTGCCATCCTACTAATTGCTCAAACTTCTGTTACCAATCGTAAGCAAGTTACTTCTATGAACTTTATACATAACTCCAGTTAGCTCATCAGCCTAGATCCTATTCACCAGCAACTGTTCCTTAGTTAAGCCACTGTGAACAAAGGGCCTGTTACGAGCAAAGTGAGTAGTATTGTATCAGTTACTCTTCTCTTGTTGGGACAAATACCTGATACTCAAAATGAAGGAGGGAAAGGTTAATTTAACTCAGTTACTGGTGATTTCAGTCCATGCTCAGTTGACTGCAAGGCAGATTGACACATGGTAGAGGGCAGCATTTCATGGTGGCAACAAAGAGCAAGAGAAAAGGGAGGAGTAGCAGCAGCAGTGGCAACAGAGAGCAAGTCTGTCGCCCTTATGTTGCATTCACGCTGTTGGCCCCAGGCTGGGTGCAGTACTCAAACCCGTAATTCCAGCATCACTCACACCCATAATCCCAGTGGTTCATAAGTTAAACACAAACTTGACAAAGTTCTCCCCATGACTGCATCAGGCTTTGCAGGGACAACTAGATACAAACCATAACAGGTACCTTCTTTTGGCTTTATGCTTTGACTGTGCTAAATTACTTTACTCACAACAATAGACTGCATTTTCTGATTTTCAGGCTCTTGCACATGTTTTTGACATGCCTACAAACCTTTCTCATTACTGCAAGGCTAGACAAGTTGTCTCCTGCATGCTCCATTGCACCTTACATTCTTCCCTTTCATATGTTTGCCTTCCTCACTAAACTCTTTAAGATGTGTGAAAGCAGCCAATATCTGTCTTCATTATAGAATCTGCACACTCAACTTGTCACATATTAGTTGACTATATTTTAAAATGTCTCATGAATCTTTACCATGTGACAAAAGCTCTTTTTGTCTGTATACAAGATTTTTTAAAAAATTCTTTTGATATAGGGTCTTGCTATGCAGTTCGGACTCATAGTGATCCTCCTGTCTCAGCCTTCCCACCACTGGGATTATAAGCATGTGCCACAATCCCGGGTTTTGGGGTCAGCATGATGTGCCTGGGGTTCCAGGATCAGCACAGCATATGGTACCAGGGATTGAACCTGCTCCTTGCATTTGCCAGGCAGGCGCTTAGACCACTGACTGAGCTATCTCCCCAGCCCCACAACCAAGATTTTTACAACCTTCCTCTTAAATGTCACAGGCTTATTGTGAGGGCTGAAAATGTACAATCTTCTTGTTACTACTTTGTTGTACTATCACATATCTCAGTAGCCTTTTTATTTCATCTTATACAGGGTATCATGATTTTACCATAACCCTAATGTGATGTTGCAGAGTGTTTAACATTCACATTGTAGTAGTGTTTAATGTGAACGTTGAAAGAGTACATACAAAGTACTCAACTCCAGGCCAAACACTATTACTAAAACCCTTGCTAGTCATTTATGTAGTCTTATGTCATTAAATTTGCCTTTCTTAGTAATTTCAGTTCTAGGGTCTTTTGGAACCTATCATTGGCCATCTCAAAAGAATTCTTATCAGCTTCCACTTTCCAGTTGCCAGGGGGAAATTGCAAGATTGATTGAGTATGGACTATACTAACTTTACTAGGTTGAATAAGGGAACTTTTCTGATGGCGTGACCTTTTTTTTTTTTTTGGTTCATTTAAAAAATGGGTTCATGACCCATGCTGTGCACCAGAATTACTTCAGAACTTTGTAAAACTACCAATGTCTGGATCACACCTTTCACTGCTAAGAAAGAACACTGGTAGGTGTGGAACCTGTGATTTCTGTTGTTGAGTTTAGGAACCTTATGTAGTTATTAAGGTACTAGCATCAGCTGGGTGTTGTGGCATATCTATAATCCATCTAACAAAGAAGCCAAGATAGAAGGATTGAACATTATAGGCCAGCCTGGGCAACCTACCAAGAGTCTGTTTTACATTTTTAAAAAAGAGATGGGGATATTTGTACATCAGTAGTACAGTTTTTTCCTAGCATACACAAGCCTTTGGATTCAGTCTTCAACACATGCATGCACATGCAAACACACACATGCACACACGCACACACACACACGTTTTGTATGCTTTCCCATCTCACATACCCAGTTCCCTGCTTGCCTTATGACCGTGAATCCATTTATGCTGGCCCTCAACCTATATTTTTATTATTTGTTTGTTTGCTTATTTATCTATTTAATGTATTTAGTACAGGGTCTTACTACGAGCTCCACTTACGACGATCCTCCTGTTTTCAGCCTCCCCAGCGCTGGGATCACAGGTGTGTGTCACCAGGCCCTGTCTCTGTCACTGGGTCAGTGCGCCCAGGGGCAGGGCCGGCGTGGCGTCTGTTGCCGGGGATTGAATCCCAGTCCCTGCGCTTGCCTAAGCACATGTTTAGTCCACTGAGCTACCTTCAAGCTGTATTTTTAGATGCTTACTTGTTTCCTTTTGAAGGTTCTGCTGTTGTATCACAGTAACTTTTTACAAAATTGAATTTTCTCTTCAAGCAGAACATTATACTGACTTTACCATATGTTTTATTATTCCTTTATTCTCCCAAACCCTCCTACTGAGACTTCATGTTTTCTGACTCCTATTTTGTCTTAACCATTTGTCTCCTTTCTCTGAATCCTCTTGGGTTTTTTTGTTGTGTGGTTTTGGTTTTTTTTTTTTCTGTTTGCCATCCCAAAATGTTACAGTGGCTCCTCACTTCTGACTACCATACTCTACCAACCTACTTCTTCCAGGACATTATTTTATTACAGCTTTGTGTATGTCTTCCTGCTTTGAGAAGCCCTAAGTACAGAATATAGTCTGAAATGTTTAATTTACCATTGAGGTCCCTAAAAAT